ATATCTACATAAAAAGAAGAAGAAGTATTTTTTTATCGATTCAAATGTACTAATGGTTTTTGAAGTCCATCTAGCTGCATGTAGCGTGCCAAATTAATTACAGTTTCTATAGTTTCAAACTGTTTTTAAGCTTAAAGAATGCATTTCTACTAGCTTATAGAAACTTGTTTTTTTCTTACTTATTTATTATGTACGTAAAATTATAGCTATTTATTTTTTATGATTGTCTCTTTTCTAGTCGCTAAAATTTTTTTAATCCCCTTTTTGAAAGGGTTTGTAATTAAAAAGGCTAGAACGAGTCACCAATTACGAGTGTATGCAAACTTTAAACAGCTATCGGTTAACCAATTTTTGTCTTACAGAAAAAAAAAGAACAAAATGTTCAAAAAAGCAAAAACTATTTTTTATTCTTCGGGATTTTTCGTATCACTAATACTTTTTAAGTTATTTTGAAAAAAAGTTTTTTGTTCAAAATTTCATAAAAAAATTTTACTTGAAAACCAATTTTTTTTCAAAATTAAACACTTACAGATCATATAAACCATATATAAATAAAGCTAATTGTATTTCATTTGGGGTGCTAATTAGGGGATGATTTTCACGATTTTTCACCAAAAAAAGGGACCAACTTCATTTTGAGAGTAACTCTCTTAGTTTTGATAGAAACTTTTTTGAAAAACAAAAAAAAAGCTTTTATTAAACACTTTAAAAAAGTTTTGTTGACTTTTCCCAGAAAAGTGCTTTATGTTTTGGTTATTTCACGTTGAAATATTCGATTTTGAATTTGACAAATAAGAACCTACTTTTCATGAGCTACAACTCTGTTTCCGCTAGGTCTACAGACTTCATAAATACGATAATTTTTCTTTTCTTTATAAGCTATATTCTTGCTAAGAATATATATTTCTTTATAAGCTATATTCTTGCTAAGAATATATATTTCTTTAATAAAATACTTACTTTTTGACCTATTTTTGAAAAACCGTCTGTAAACATGTTTTTTTAATGAACACTTCCATTCGCAAATAACTCAAAAAATTATACATTAGCCCTGCAATTCTTTTAATATCGTCGCTCCAGCGCATTTGCGGTCTTCCTCGTGGTCTTTTAGCTTCATATGGCCGCCAATTCCCGATTTCTTTATTTCATCGGCCATCCGTAAGACGTTAGTTATATCCAGCCCATTTCCATTTCAGTTTAGCTGCCTGTTCGGCAGCATTTTTTACTTTTGTTGTATTACGAATGTCTTCATTGGTTTTATGGTCTTTGAGTGAGATACCACATCTGTCGTTCCATAACTCTCTGAGTTTTTCTGATCTTCTCCATGTTTATTTTAGTGAATGTCCAGGTTTGAGCTCCATATGTAAGTACAGATAGGATCACAGGAATTAAACACTTTGGTTCGCAGTCTTTGAGGTATATTTTTATTTTTAAGTACGTATGAGAGTCTTCCGAATGCTGCCCATTCCATTTTTACACGTCTGCTTATTTCGGTAGTCTGATTTTCTTTGCTTACCTTGACATTTTGACCCAGATATGTATATTCATCTACGTGTTCTATCTTTGTCCCTTCGATGTTTATCATAGGTTTGTCATCTTTGTTTGACATTAGTTTAGTTTTGCTGAAATTCATTTTCAGTCTTTTTTTTAGGGATTCTGTGTGTAGCTCCTCAATCATCGTATTTAGTGCATTCTACGTGTCGGCTATTAGTACTACATCATCTGCGTATCTAAGATGGTTCAAGTATCTTCCGTTAATAGGGATTCCCTTATTTTCCCAGTCTATTGACTTAAAGATATCTTCTAGGGCAGCTGTAAATAATTTTGGAGATATTGTGTCTCCTTGTCTTACTCTTCGGTTGATTTTTACTGGTCTTGTTTCGATTCCATTACCCAACGTCACTATCATTTCAGCTTGTTCGTAAATATTATGTATTAATATTCTGTACCTGAAGTCGATCCGGTTGTTGAATAATGCTACTTCTATTGCCCACAGTTCTACACTATCAAAAGCTTTTTCATAATATATAAAAGCCAGACATAATGGGAGATTGTATTCGTTAGTCTTTTCTATTAGGATTTTTAAAGTATATAGATGGTCACAGGTGCTGTACCTTTTTCTAAATCCGGCTTGTTCTACTGGTTGATATCCGTCAAATTTAATCGTTAACCTGTTTGTAATAATCTTAAGGTTTTGTAAAGTTGTGAAAGAAGTGAAGTTGGTTGATAATTTTTCAGTTCTGTTTACCTTGGAATAGACATTTATTAAATAGTATTTTTAGATATGGGATGGCTTCTTCTCCGCCTTCCTTCAGCATTTCTGCTAGGATTCCATCGCTTGCACGAACTTTATTCATTTTTATTTCGTTTACTGCTCTTTCTGTTTCTTCGGAGCTTATTTCGGGCATCACTTCTGAGTTGACATTTGTTATCTGCCTTTTCAAGTTCTGCTTTGAGGAGTTAGGGGGATCGTTTCTGGAACGGTACAGATTTCTAGTTGTCCTTGTTAATTTTTAATGGTTATTATGTTTTTCTTTCCTAGTTTCGGTTTGGTGCGTTGGAGACTTCGGTTTTTTTTCTATAATTTGTTCTATACGGTTTTCTTGATGTCTTTTAATGTCATCTTTTATCTGTTTTCTTATTACTCGATTAAGTTTCATAAAATCTGCAGTCTCTTTTGTTTTGTCTCAGAAGATCTTTTCTTTGTTTCAGCATGTTTTGTGATTCTACACTTATTTTGAATTTTCGTTTTCTGTTAGCAGTTCCCACTTCTGAGCTTGCATTTAATAGTTCTTTTGTTATGACTTCATTGATTTCATTTAAGCTAAGTTTATCTAGATTTAATACTTTCGCGGGTTTTATCTTGCTTTTATATTGTTCTGTATTAGATTTTAGTTTATCTGTGTCTATATATCAAGTTTTTCTAAATTTATTTCTATTTTTTAGGCTCTAACCATTCGGTGATCGCTACTTACTGACGCCGTATTTATTACTGTTACGTCCTGTATGATATCTGTTTTGTTATGGAATCTATTTCGTTCCGAGTTTTTCCATCTGGGGATAGCCACGTCCACTTTCTTTGATGTTTTTTCTTATAGAATGTGTTCATTGCATAGTATTTGTGGGCTTGTAGGAAGTTAACCAAGGTTTCTCCCCTCTCGTTTCTATCTCCAGAGCCGAATTGTTCTATATAGTTTTCGGTTTTTTCAAGTCGTTGTCTGATCTTAGCGTTGAAGTCTCCTATTATCATCGTATACGTGCTGTGATAATTCGTGCTAGTTTCTGCAATTTTCTCATAAAATTCGTCTATCTCTTCATCGGGATGTGCTGCGGTTGGAGCGTATACTTGAATAATTTTCAAGGAGATGTTCTCGTTTACATTTAACCTAATCATCGCAATTCTTTCAGTGTTTCCTACGAATTGCTCTACTTTATGTGTATATTTCTTGGAAATTAGAAATCCTACGCCATCTAGGCTTTGTTCTTCTCACCCTTTGTAATATAGGGCGTTACCGGACTTTAGTGTTATGCACTCTTCCCCTTTTCTTTTTACATCTGCTAGACAATTATTTCCCATTTTAAGTCCTTGATGTCTTCTTCGAGTTCCTAGACTTTTTTATCTTTGCTTAAGGACCTTATATTTAGAGTTGCTATGTTCAATCGTGTGGTTTTTAGCGAATTCTTGCTTACATCAGATTCTATGAAGCCGTCCTTTTTTTTAAAGGAGTGGGATTTGCCATTACTCTATGGTCTACCCACCTGGGGACCCCTTTCTTTTGTTTTAGATATCGCCATATTCCTATTAGGAGGTTTTTTAGCCTTAAAATACCACGCTGGCTAGACGGGTTGGTGAGTGATTTTATACAATCCCTAAAATCAAGGGATTGTCACTTCCGCCATTCACACCGTACCGAAGGTATTCTTCTCCGCCGTGACTGCCGTTGTGAACTTCATCAGTAACCCTAAGCAGGTACTAGTCTCCCGGGACAGGAAACACCTGGAATCTGCGGAGGGCAGGGATAGATTCATTTTCTACCCGCCACCCGTCTACCCATGAATTGCTTAGAATTAGTCAATTTATCAATTTCTGGACTTATTTTGAACGTATGTTTTTTCACCTCTCAAGTAAAAGCAACCTTGGACTCAGTTCAAAAGTGAAGTAGAGGATACGAGGAACCTTAATCCAAATTTTCAAGTAAATCCTTTGTGACAACGAAAATTACACCCCAAAACTGTCATTTACTGGCGTATAAGTGACAAGATAAAGTTGTGAAAGAAATGCATTGAAAATGTATTTAAACACTAACCAAAAAACGTTTTTACTGTCGATTAAAAAACGATTTTAATGTCATACGTGGGAAATCAGCTATATTATGTTCCTTACCTACTGAAAAAAAAAAAATTTTAAAGAGTCAAATAATATTTTATCACAAAATTATTCTATTTTTACATTTTCCCGTGTGTACTCAATAAAAAGTTGTATAAATTTTATTCTCAGCTCTATTTTTCCCCGAATGCAAATGAGTGTTACACACTTACAGTTCTAGGAATCTAAAAATGTTCTATATTTGTATATACTTTAGTTACAAGAGACATCTATTGAAAAAATGATAAATTTATTTACTGAAATCGTAGGCTTCCACGGCCAGAGTCAGAATTATTAGTTTATTCATCTTCCGGGTTTGGACCGTGTCATTTGTGAGTGACCCAAAAGTGGGTTCATCTCAAAGATGAACATCTTGATGAACAAAGATGTTCATCTTTGAGATGAACCCACTTTTGGGTCACTCACAAATGACACGGTCCAAACCCGGAAGACGAATAAACTATAATTTATTTACTGATGTATTAGCAAAACTCAAAGGGTTAAAGATTGGCACTCTAGAACAATATTTATACTACTTATAGCATACAGAACTTTATTGTCTGTGGCACAATTTAAATATTATATTTATTTAAGATTGTTGGTATACATAATAATATATTTTATTTATTTTCAGACGACACAGACAGAATCAGTCAGCGCCTAGTCCATTTAGCCAAAGAACAAGGCTCGACCGACAACATCTCTGTGATAGTGGTGTTTTTACGAGAACCTTCTAAAATAGCAGCGGAAGCCCACTGGGCGAACCGCAATTTAGTTCCTGTAACCATGGAGGCGAGCCTCGACAATTCAAATAACCCCTTCGGCATGTCCAACGGCGCCAACACTGACAATATCATTACGCAAAAATCAGACGGCCTATTACTGAACCTTACGGATAACTATAAACAAAACGGTGAGTAAATGAAATTTAAATTATGATTTAGCAAGTAATTTGATGTCGGTTCTGTGGAGGTCTGCCGCATTGGCGTTGACTCTGAGGCCTACCTTGGACTACCAACTGCTCCATTTTGTGATGGCTTCGATGGACATGACCAAATAACTTTATAAGTATAGAGTAAGTAGTACTCTAGACATATAAAGTTCCAGCTCCAGGTAGTTCGAAGCAGTCGTCTCCATGTCCACATTTCAAAAGCGCCTATGCATCGGCTATGTGATTCTTTGACTGTCCATGTCTTGCATGCATAGTAAAATGTGAAAAAGACCAGAGTTTAAAACGGATCTGTTCTTATCATGAATGTGTTGCTTGTGTGAGTCCATTTCAAATAGGTAAAGAAATAATAAATAAGACTTACTCACAATCAATTTAATTTAACTATCAGACGACCGGTTTCGCTTTCTACAATATGCAAAGCATCTTCAGGTCTCGATACAAAGTTAAACAAATAATATAGAGTACCGGCATCATTTGTTTAACTTTGTATCGAGACCTGAAGATGCTTTGCATATTGTAGAAAGCGAAACCGGTCGTCTGATAGTTAAATTAAATTGATTGTGAGTAAGTCTTATTTATTATTTCTTTACCTATTTGGATCTGTTCTTGTTTCTCATAGTAATGTGATGACACGCCATACCGCGTCTTCGAAATTCGGGTTCACAACTGCCTGTGTCGTTAACTAGAATAGGAGACGCACCTCGCAATATTTCGAGTTTCAGTAAAGTGACTGGCCACGGATGGATTTCAATTGAACAAGCGACAAGTGTATACAAATTACAAAGGTCAGCAAAATTTTACAATGTTACATAGAAAAAATAGTGTCAACTATTCTCATGTTAAAAGTGAACCACTGTGTTTTTCCGAAACATTTGAATATACCAGATGATAGTGTAAAACAAGTACAGGTGATCTAAATAAATTTCATAAACATAAACATATAAACTTTATGACAAGGCTGGTGAACTTAAAATCATATTTTAATTTAAAAGAAGATTTTTGATCTTATACTTGTGATTATTAAATTGACTCCTACTTGAGTTAATGTTTGTTGAGAAATATAATTTGATTTTCAGTAGTGGACGATGATATTTTGAAGTACTTGGGTGTACATACATTTTAACATAACTAATATATGTTCAGTTTTAATAAAGTATATTTCTGTGTTTTTAGGTACCGATTTACAAACTTCCGACTTCTTTTCAACCGAAAAGTCAAACGGAAAACGATCGGCTTCAGATTTCGATGACGAGGATTTCGGACCTGAAACAGATGTTGATGCTTTAGATGACCTTCTTTCACCAGGTAAGTTAAATTAATATAGACTGCGGGATAAAACAAATTAAGAATTTTATTTTCTGCAATTGTTAAAGTTTTAGTGAATTTTGAGGAAAATATTCAAAAAAGTCTCTCCTGACGTAAAATATTACACATCGTATATATGTTTTTTCATGTGGATGATAAATTGGTTATCTAAATTGGTCTGGCTATTAAACAGAAAAGGTTAAGTTCTGAAAAGGATTTGTCCCCAAAGTTCCCCCAAGAACTTTGGGGACAAACTAATTTATTTCAAGACCTTCTCTGTAACCATCGGGCACCGCAGCTTGACGTAAAATGGTTCATTTATCATCTTATAAAATAAATATGTAGCTATTACATGGGTAAACGAGTTCTTGAGAGTTTTCCCGAAGTAGGAAGTAAACACTTCCGGTTTAATCATTGTTCTCACATAACTTTTCAGTTATCAGAATTAATCATCAGTTTTTCTGTATATGTTGCAGTTTTGGATGCACTCTTCATCGTCTGGACAGACACTCTTCTTTTAATTTTTATTTACAATAATTCTTCATACTTTGTAATTTGCATTAGAAGATATGTTAGTAAAGGTCGGTTATTACCACTAGAGTCTTTATTTAATCCCATCACGTAACGCCCGTAGCATACTTCGGATTAAGTTGATTATTATATCTTCGTTCCACTATTCTCATCATTCATAAGAAGCACGTTGTTTCCTTAATTATATATAGAACATTTTCACACTTCCCGATGGGTTTTCTACTTCGTCCTGACATGATGTATAGTTTAAATTTTACTGTGTGCTAACTGATTTTTCCCATCCAAGATTGAAAGTGGGTACGCTATAATAAAGTTTACGTAACATTCGAGAATGTATCTCTAAGCAGTTAATAATCTTTTTATAATTAATAAGTCTGTGTAAACGTTTAAGCACATGCTTCCCCAGATTGATACACCTTTGTTTTTTCATCAAAGCAGCTATGTGTACTAGATTTTGATTCACATAAGAAGAACATCTTTTACCATTGTTAGATTGTTCAATTATTTTTCTTCGTCTTCAGTCAACATTAACAAACATTACAGCAGTCACAGTACCAAAAACGCTACAATTACGAATGAAAAATAAGGTTTATTTACCTTTACTATTCTTCTTTAAATTTCTGCTTGTCCTGTTAATCCATGCTTAATGCAACTCCCAGATAAGTGAAACTTTCTACTATTTCAATATCGTCCTCTATTTCAACTGTGCATCCGTTTCCACTAGCTCTTACCTGTGTCAGCTTTTCTATATCTTGAATATTTATTTCTAGTCCGTCCTCTCTTGCCCTTGTTTTTAATTGTGGTTTAGAACTCCCCTACCAACAATGTCAGACCGGCACGGAGATGAGGGATAGTTGGCAATCTACCTCTAAAGAAATATTACAGCAATAAAATCATATTAACAGATTGAAATATCTTAAACAAGAAGAAGAAGAGACGACCTACTAGTGTACCTATAGTGATTAGGTTTCTAGCAAGTAATAGAATAAACCCAGCCTCTGAGGTCAATGTGTAAGTTTCTAACCGCGTGTGTTGTACCATTTTGAAATCCACAATTGACAGGATTGTGAGGAGGTCAACCTTGGCTAAAGTATCTCCTCTTTACCATTACAAAGGCAATCATGAAGATCCCTACCCTGGCTAGCTCTTCTTAGATGTAGTTCGACTAATCACCAAGACAAACAATGGTCATATGAATGATGACAAGGGAGATGGCATAAAACAAACATTGAAACAAATATTTTATTTAATAAATAGATAGACTTGTTTCTATGTTACAGAAAGTCCTGTACAAAGTGGATTAAAAAATGTGGCTAAAGATCCAAACAAAATTTACTGGCGGAAGGTCAAAAGATAAAAGGGTGGCTAAATGCCTTTTGAATAATTCAGAAAAATGTTCTTATGAAACACTTAACTTGCTGTGCTGTTTACCATGTAGTGCTGCTGGATGGAAAGTTATTGCTACAATGATATCAGTTCTACTAGTTATTTTAGTACATAGTGGAGCCTGGTCACAGCATCATGCCATTGGATTTACATTCCATTTGATGTGGAATGGAACCTGGAGGTGGATTAGTTGTATTCCATTCTGGTGGAATAGAGAATTTATTCCTAGTCCATTTTTATTACAGGATGAGACCCAAGTTTCTAAAAACAGAACAACGTTAAGGCCTAACATGACTAAAATGATATTTGAGTATACAATTCATTGGGGTGAAGGCAATTGATCCATGTAAATCAGGGACCACTCGACCCCGCTCAAAGTTCCATACTGTCCTCCACCCTCCCCCATACTCCGCTAATGCGCTATGAAGGTTTCAATCATCCCTACACCCTCTACACCCACTACACCCACATGATATCTTCTCCCAAGTTATGCGGGACAGCATGGGGCACTATAGTCACGCTTTCGTCCGATGATTAGGTTTCTCTAATGAAAAATTTGTTCAGCTGGGTTATTTTACTTCTGTTTTACCATCACTACTGGTGGTGAAAATAATGTATTTTTAATTGTATAGCATTTAAAATTATATTAACTTTACAATAGCTTATGTGTAGAAATAAGTAAGTCAAACTCATTTTTGACAAAAATTTTATCTCGAGAATCCAAGATAGTCATTACTGGAAGTAAATATGGTGAGCAATTGGACTCATGTTAATAAGGCTCTTTGGAATTTTTTGAATAAAAACCTGCTTATAGCATCTAACCTTGTTTTTATCGAGAAATAGTAATTTTTAAAAATAAAAAAAAAAATAAAAACCCCTAAAAGGACATTGGCAATATTAAATGAAGTAATTAAGATAATAAACAGAAATATTTGAAATTGAAAATAAATGTTTCAAAAAAAATTCAATAATATTATTATTATAGAATTTATATATTCACTAATGTTTGTATTTTGAGAACGATTTCCGAAGTGGAAATTAAAACGTCAATAAACGTATTTTGTTGCGTTCTGCACATACGATGACCTCAATATAACAATTGGGGTCATCCTGAAGGGGGAGAGAAGATATTCTGTTCAATCTAGAACTCGCTGGTTTCCCAGCGGACTGGGCAAAGCAAGCGGACTGTATAAAACTCTATTTATAAAAGCATTGAAATTAAAACATAAATATACATAACCACATACAATTATAATTAAAGAAGAATATATTACTTAAAAGAAGAAGAATATATTACAAACTTAACTATTAGCTACTATGAAACACACCAACAAACACACCAAAAGACAACCATAAACAAACCAAAGCAAAAATGTAGATTCTATAAAAAACCACTGACAAAACAAAAGTCAAAACCTACCATAGCCGCGACAAATTAATAATATTACAAAAAAAAACATAAAATTATGGATATATTTGTCAATGGTATAAAAACAAGTAATAATGCGGTGCATACAAATAATTAATACAATTATTAATACAAAGCACACATGAAATAAATCGGTGTTAACAAAATAAAAAAAAAATATATACAATACAGTAAATAAACCAAAACAAATGCAAAATGTCCAATTGACAATGTTCAATCGCGATCGCGGCACAAATGCGATGAAGTTCCAAACAAATATCAAATAAATATACCAAGTGCGCGTACTTGATATATGCAGGAACATATATAAATGGTGTATTGTTCCTTGTCCCATGAAAAGATACTAGGGCTATCGCAAATTACGCCTTCAGCGGCCGACTTCAACTACCAAAGTTGGTGATGCACATTAGCGTCTTTCTTGGTCACAGGACCGATGCGGAATCCGGTACTCTTCAACATGTGCCTCGTTTGAGAGACAAAACTCGACTCTCCTTTTATATGAAATGCATCCCCTATGGTGATATTTGGCAGATGGCCCGGCTTGCAATCTTTAGCCCTTAAAACCGCTGTGTCACTTACACGCAAATCTGGTTTAAAATATACGAGGAGAATAGAAACTATTAAAATGTCTGTTAATACATTTACAAATGTTTATATACTGTTGCGAAACTGCAACATATTTTAACCTTTAATTGTGGCTTATTCCCATTTAAATACTAATTAAATTGTATAAAATTTAAAATATGACTCAATGTGTATAACTAGACTTTAGTAGTAGAACATATCAGGAATAGGTATAGGCACGAGGATATTTAGAACATTTTTTCCTTTTGGATTCTATTCTAATAATCTCTTTGGGATTCTGTGATTGGGCATTCTTTGTACATGTCCATACCATATTAATTATTTGATTCATTTTTCCTCTGTGTTAAATTGTGCCTTTATAATCTGTATGCTTTTTTGTTTGTGAACCTTTCTGGTCTTAATTTTTTCCGCAGCTCATCTTCAGTAGATCTCTGCGGCTTTTTGTCTTTTTTCTGTCCGTTCTTTTAAAGGCCATACTTCGCAGCTATAAATGATTATGTTCTTTATTATAGTTTTGTAAATTCGCTTTGTATTCTCTATTCTTCTTGTGTATTGTTCTATGCCAGGGGTGTCCAACTTGCAATGCCTCAAGGGTCAAAACTAAATCCTTTGATGTTGTCGCGGGCCATATAATAATTTTGTTACAAGTAATAACAAAATAAAGTGAGGTATAAAAATAATTAAAACAAAAAAGAGTATTATTTCTTTTAATGCTCAACAACTACATTTTTTTTTTTGATAAACGGAAAATTTATTGATAACACTTTTCAATAATCAAGACAAACATTACAAAAGCAACGAAAAAGATGTATTCAATTAGAGTGTGAGGACTGTGGTCGATCGGCTTTATCCACCACTGAAGAAATGTCCACCTCCAGTTCAGTTGTAGACACTCTCATATAATGAAATAAGGAAGAATCGGTAAGGTTGCTTCTGTTTTTATTTTTTATGTATTTCATGAAGGAAAAGGCACTTTTACATGTATATGTGCTTCCGAACATTGACGTCATTTTCAGTCCAAAATCTCGAAGGTTTGGGAATTTCTCCTTTGACAGCAATTTGAAAAACTCAGATCCCTTTTCTTGTCTGGTGATTAGGAACATGTCTGCTTGAAAATCACACAACTCAAGCTGTAAGTTGGGTGGTTAATCGTCAATGGTTGCTCCAAGAGGGTTATTATAAAGTAATACACTGCTTTTAAGACTTTGAATTTCTTCAAATCTTGTATTGAATTCATCAATAACTTGTTCAATTTGTGAAATGCAGGACGAAAACTTAATATTTTGAGTAAATTCTGTAAATTTGTAAAAAAATTCTGTTCTCACTATCAATTTTCCGTTTTACTGGTTTTACGCTCATTATTGTATAAGAGGAATCAAGACATCAAAGAATTAATCAAGTTCACTGTTCATTAGCAACGTAATAGATAATCATTGCACTTCTCATAGTGGTGGAGGACGATTGTGTTCGTTACACGTCCGCGAAGCGGCACACGGTACAGTACTTGTGATGTAAAAAACACTGCTAAACCATAAAATATAAAATAAATTAAAAATCTTTTTTCACAGTGGCAGCATTTAAAGAAAATACATGCTTTTCGAAAATCTTACGTGGGCCACAACAAATAGCCTCGTGGGCCGGATGCGGCCCGCGGGCCGCCAGTTGGACAACCCTGTTCTATGCCATAAGTCTCCTTCTAACGTCGATGTTGCTTTCCTTTCTTTCATATTTCTGTCCAATAACTATTGCTTCTTCGAGTATTCACCTTTTGTTATTTTCATCCCAGGATTTTGTATCGGATCCGCATTTAATTTTTTGACCGCTTGCTAGTTACAAATATTGTTGTGTTCGTTTGATGCACATAAACTCAGTTTTGCTGGCCCCAAAGTTTATATAAAGAACCTTTAATTTTTTATTATTAGCCGACTTTTTTAGAGACATAAGGACATACATAAATACACGCATATACAAACAACGAGAAACATCAGATCCATTATCGATTACATAATTGTCAGCAAAAGTAGTACTATTAAAATTAGAGATACACGAGTAAAGAGAGGAGCCGAATGTGGCACTGACCACCGATTAATAATTTCACAAATGGGGTTTCCCCACTTGTTGAACACCCAAACTAGAAGGAAGAAAGAACACGAAGAAGACCAAGTAGAAAATGAACAGAAAGAAGAAGAAATGAAGTTCAACATAAATTTACTTCAAGAGGAATCCATAAGGGACCTATACCAGAGAAGACTGGACCAGAAGTTACAGGATTTCGGTTTCAGAAACGTCAAAGAAACGTACGAGCACGTCAAACACAGCATAAAAAAGGCGGCATTAGAAGCTTTGGGGAAACTTGAGAAAAGAAATACCCAACACAAAGTAAAAATAAACAAAGAAACCAAAAAATGTATTCAGGAGAAGAAAATTATATATAAGAAAAGTATGAGCACCCAATCCCCAGAAGACACACAGAAGTACAAAGAGAAAAACAGAGAATTAAAACGAAGAAGGGCAAAAGAAAATAATGAAGAATGGAAAGAAACATGTGCACAAATTGAACAATACATAGGAGGAACAAGGAATTCGGAATCCTGGAAAATACTGAAATCTTTAAGGAAAAATAACAACGAAAATGTCCAAATACAATACATATCAGAAAAAGAGTGGGAAGACTACTATAAAGAACTACTCACAGAAAACCGCCCAGATTTCATAGAGACAGACACAGAACATGAACAACAACAAAATCAGAATGAAGAACAGATTGAGATAACATTAATCGAAGTAAAGAATGCCACAAAGACTTTAAAGAACAAAAAATCAGGGGGACCAGGAGGAATCGTTAATGAACTAATTAAGTACGGAACGGACAAACTACACAGAATTATACACGAAATGTTCAGTAACGCTATAAACCTGAACGAAATACCAGATGAATTGTCCAAAGCATATATAACCTCGATACACAAAAAGGAGATAAGAAGAAATGCGGGAACTACAGAGGCATCAGTGTGAAAGCATGTATAGGCAGGTTATATGGAAAAATACTAAAAGAACAACTGGAAAAATCTATCTCAAATAAAATCGGAGATCAGGCGGGGTTCACGGCAGTAAGATCTTGCATAGACCACATATATACACTTCAACAATTAATTGAAAAAAAAATGGCAAAAAATAGACCAGTACACATGGCATTCATAGATTTAAAAAAGGCATATGACATGGTTCCCAGAAAACAACTATGGAACACGATGAAGGAAATCGGAATAACTCAGAGGTTAATAGAAGCCGTAAAAAACCTTTACAACAACAACAAGTTAAGAGTTAAAATCGGCAATAAATACTCCAACGAATTTAAGACCACAAAAGGCTTATTGCAGGGATGCTCTACATATCCGACACTGTTCAAGATATTGGAAAAGGAAATGTGAAGGGATGGGAATACCAATCCGGGACAACTTCTTGTACACATTAAGTTTTGCAGATGACCAAGTTGTAACGGCTCAAGATGAAGAAGATCTGTGCTATATGCTTCGAAAATTAGAAAAGGAATACACAAAAAATGGACTGGAAATAAACCTAGAAAAGACCGAATATTTAACAACAGAGCAAAAACCAGTGAGAAACTTGGAAATGGACGATGATAGGGAAATTACCGGCACTGAAAAATTCAAATATTTAGGATTCATACTCTCAAAAAATGGAACCACCGAGCAAGAGATAACCAGCAGATTAGCACAGACAAGAACATGTATTAAACAAATGAACGGGGTACTGTGGGATAGACGATTACCAGAAATACAAAGAAGAGCATTTATAACACAGAGGAAAGAATTGGAAACGAAACAGGTCCAAAATCACAGCAACTGAAATGGAGTTCATGAGAAGAAACTGCAGAGTGACAAAAATAGATCGCATCAGAAATGAGGAGATAAAACGAAGAATGGCAGTAGAACAAGACATACTCAGCAACATCGAAGAAAAACGTTTAATTTGGTATGGACATGTGAGAAGAACAGATCATACAAGGTGGATAGCAAAGATTTCGGATTGGAGCCCAATAGGAAGGAGGAAAAGAGGTAGACCCCGAAGATCATGGAGGGATGAAGTGGATGAGGCCATGAAAAGACGAGACCTTAGATATGGAAAATGGCAGAACAGAAAGGACTGGAGACGTTGGCTGAAAGAAGGAAAGCGGCGACAGCTGTAAAAATCCTTATATAGATAGATATAATTTTTTATTACTCCGCATTTAATACTACTTTAAAATACCGTTTCTTGTCTCCGATACTTGTAAAAAATCCAGAAATAATATGCGAGATACGTTTAGTATAGACTATATTTATTTTCCAGGGCCTAAAGAATCTATTGCAAAGAACTTCTCGGACGCCTTTTCGCCATCTCCAAACAACAATCTCTTAGGAGATGAAGGTGTGTTTAACCCATTCATGGAACACCAAGAAAAAGCAGCACTCGAAATGGAGAAGAGCTTACGGAAACGAGAAAGCAGAGATGAATTCGAAGAGGAGGAAAGATTGGCAAGGGAAGAAACGCCTACTCCACCTGCAGATGCCGGTAAGTTTTTGTATATTTATTAACTAGTTATTTGACTTATTTGAAATATTTAAAGCAATGCGAAATAATCAAAATATAAAAATGCAAACTGTTTAGCTAATATAAGTCACAATTTATCTTTTTAATAGAAAAATGAAGATAAACTTATAATACCAAATAGTATGATCAAAATATTTTAAGCTAGAATAATGCAAAGTTGGTATAATTTTACTAGGCCATTGCGTCCTAGCGAGCAATTATTATTTTGATGGAAGTGGCAATTTGTTAAAACCTTCGATATCGATGAAACTAAAATTTCATTTTAGTTGTTCAAACAAAATTCCGAATATGCAAATAACAAAAGTCCCTGGTCACATAGAATAGAGATACATTTTACCAAAAACGAGAAAGGGTCTCTGTAAACAAATCGTCTGAATAATCCAAAATGCCCATTTATGCATGGTCGTATTTTCGTTGCAGATTGGATTTTTGGAATTAACAGCTGCCAGCTATCCGGGCTCTGCTAAATAATGGAGTAGTTTATTTATTTCCAATGCATGAATAGGTACATTAAAAATTATTCATTAATTAAAATGTAAAATTTTAATCAATTGCAAATTCAAATCTGTAGTTTTATATACAAAGAGTTTATCGGTTTTAAGTAATAATGAAAAAAATATAATACCATCAACGGTAAAAACAAACAACAGCACGAAATTCAGGATTTGCTGCAGTTACTTTCCCCTTTTTCTTAAGGTGTCTTCTATACACTCGAGGTTAATAATGGGCAAATTGTTCTCTGCCATGCCTTGACTAAGTATTGAATATAAATCCTGGCTCTCTTCCGTTGTTTGAATGAACTAACCTCAAATGAATTTATACGTGGAAGGCATTATAAAAATATTGACAATACTATTTTCAATAATATCATCATCTACATCATCACGGTGCTACACCCCATAACGGGCCTCGATCTTCTTAAGCTTTCTGTACCATTCTGCTCTGTCCCTTGTTTCTCAGTATCCTGTGTTTTCCCGTCTGTCCACCTCAGCTTTGGTCTGCTCCGTCTGCGTATTCCCACCGGCTGCGCTGTTAGAATTTTTTTTATTATGTTCGATTCCGGGGCCTGGCTACATGTCCTGCCCACTCCGAATATCTTGTATAGCACCTTTCTTTCAAAAATCGATAGAGATGATTCGTCTGTTTTGGCGAGGGTCCACGATTCTGATTTATATGTGAGAACGGGGACTATAAGTGTTTTAAACAGTCTTATACGAGTTTTTGAGACAGACGATTGTTAGCTATTTACTTTCATAGATCATGATGTCATCTATTTGCAAAAGTGGAGAGGATAATAAATTAACTCTTTCGTTGCTGATTTCATTGTAGCGAAATAAAATGGTTTAAAATGTCACTAGATATATGAACTCTTTGACCGCTTCGAAGTTTTGGTCTGTTTGAGGTTTGTTGACATCTTATCAAAATTAGGTTCTGAAACTGTTTTTAGTGTCATGTTCAAGAATAAGTTTATCTATAAATTGTGATTTAATTGAAGAATTTACAATGGTAAATTTACGTACAAAGCTAATCAATAAACTAACATATGGATGGAAATTCATTTTATTTAACAATAAAACACTTTTGTTTTCAAAACTTCCACAGAAATGTTATTATATTTTATACAACTTTGAGACAGAATTAAATATTATTAAACAAATAGCAGTGAACAATAGATACAACGAACAAACAATAAAATTTTAAATCAAAAACTACACAAGAAAGCCCTGAAATTAGTAGTTCCACCACCAGAGAAAAAACCCAGTACCTTCTCGACTACATATCGCACATCAGCAACAACACAGTTTTTTTTATTTTTGTTGTAATAAATGGGTATTTTGTTAAACTTTCATTAGCATTACTATCGAAAAGATATTTTGTCATATAAGCGCTAGTTGGCCACTTATGTCTATTATAGCTATAACTACTTTTGTAGAACTATTTTCAGCAATAGTGTAACAGCTCACTTATGACAGTGTTGAAGTAATCTTTAGATATATTTTTTTCAAATTAAGTGTGCTATACTACTATTATTTACTAATAGCGATATGTCTTGACAACAACACTGTCACATTATTCTGAAAGCCACATTGTGGTGTGTTTTCTGTTTATTAAAAATGTGTTTTTTGTAAATTTCTCATAGAAGAATGACTGATCACTCAAAATAGCTGACATCTATAGACATGATAAAACAATTTGTATGGAATAAAATAAAAGTTATGGGAATGTCACCATGTTCTCCAGAATTTTTAAGAATGAATTTAATCTCATTTTTCCAACCTAAGAAAGATCAGTGCGGTATGTGTGCAGAGTATAAAAATGCAAAGAGTAAGGTAAATTTACAGAAAAATTGTGATCGTCATTTAAAAGAAGATCTGTCACATATTAAAAAAGATAAAGATAACCAAAGCACATGAGTGTATTACGGTATGTTTTGATTTACAGGCAGTTCTCCACACACCTTGTAGGGACATCAACTCCTTTAACTGTAAATCAAAGTTAAGTATGTATAACTTTACTATATTTGACTTAGGATTTCTTAAAAATGAATGCTCTAAAGCCCTTCCTGTTGTATTTTACTACGGCAATTGCTATGGTGAGAACAAAAACAAATTTATAACCTCGTTACTTCTTTAAATAGTAAGCAAACTCGTTATTCCTTTGATCACTTAAAGTTTCTGATTTTTGGTCATAAGCAAAATAAAGGAAACAACATGCACTCCTTGATTGAAAAACAGAAGGAATATCCTATCACAATTTTGTGGTTTTGGAAGGTAAACACCTTTGGGTTTCCAGCAACATAGACACATTTGTTAATAATTAATATGTTAATTTCAAATTTCTACAATACAGAATACTAATTGATAAAACAACCTAAATTAATCTTATTGAAGTAAAAATAACAACACTTTTATTCAATTTATAGAAATAATTCAACATTAAATAGTAAGGATAATCTTCATACCCGATTGACACAAATTGGCAATTTTTGACTTATGACAGTGTTGTTGCGGAGGTGCGATATACAGGCATAATATCAACAAAAATAGCCAAATACATAAAAAAAGCACCAGCTTCCAGAACAAATAACAACTTAGGCAAATATATTAAAAACAAGAAGAGCCAAAATAAAAAGCACACAGTGGTGTATACAAACCATCGAGCAAAAAGATAAAAGAGGGAATGTAAAGGTAGTGGGGGCATAAATATTGTTAGACAGGAAGTGCTATCTTGAGAGGCCACTTTAAACAAGGAAAGATAGTCTTTCCTTGTTTGAGAAGTCAAATTTAGTTTGGTTATGTTATTGTTTGTCCCAACTGTCACATGAAATTTTATTTATATTGAAGTTTTTTACCAATTGTGTCACTTTTTAGACTATTATAGTTAATATTTAATTAAAACTTTCTTGTCTGAAAAATATTTTATAGCTATTTGTTAATAAGTGTTGGAAAATTTAAATTTAGCGCCTTTGGATTTCCGGATATGTCCGCCATCAGAGGGCCACTTTTTTGGTCTCATTTTCATAACGATTAGATTCCCTCTTTTATCTTTTTGCTCGATGATACAAACTTAAATGTCGCGACTGTCCAAAAACTTACATCGGTCAAACTAGTAGAAATTTTAATAAACGAATAGCAGAACATAAAAAGGCTTTCAATAATAGAAAAACAGATTCTACATACGCACTTAGCCTTCTAGATCATAATCATTCTTTTAATGACGTATTTAAAATTCTTCACATTCAAAATAATCTACCTTTGTTAGAATCTATGGAAATTAACAAATTAAAAAACACAGATATAATTCTGAATGACCAACTTGAGACAAACAGTTCTCCCCTCCTCAACCTACTTCATTTTAGACTATAAAGTGTAAACGCACGCCAAAAATAGATCACTTGAGAAAGGCCATCAGTCGAAACAGCTGTAGTGATAAGATGTATAATAAAATTTTTGTGGAAGTTTTGAAAACAAAGTTTTCAGTGTTTTATTGTTACATATTATAACTAATATATAAAAAAAAACCACCGTTTTGAAGATTTTCGCTCGATATTATATTTGCTAACTTTTTGATCGGCGAGGTTTACTCCTCACATAAAATTATTGTAGAAAATAGACAAATTGCCTCTAGGCAAGTGAACTCGGCTTTTCCTAGAGTTTGGTGGCACTGCGTTTCTGACAGCATCATCTCCTTTGTGTCTTTCTATTTATTTGCTAAAATTCCTTCAGATGAAACTAAAAAGTCCCTTAAAGTCACTTTTTTGCCACATGTTTATGACTACTTCTACTGGATTGCCTCTTGTTACAACAAGAAGCCACGCTATCGATGTATTTTGTTTTTGACGTATTATTACCATTGATTTCTTTCAATTGCTGCTATTCTTTGGTTTTTGCAGAAAGCAATATGCGTAAATAAACCACGCGGAAATAATTTTAAAAAATATCAACAGAACTAGAACGTCTATCAATATTTAGCATTGCTGTCCCTCCTCCCTGGGTAGGGATTTGTATATTTCATTGTGCAATCATTTTCGGACTCATCTTCAGAAATATATTCGTTATTAGAATTTTCTTCGTTGCAAGTAGTGGTCTTGTTACAGCCTCACATTTAGAAGTATTCTCAGAGACTTGATCAGAATCTATGGCAGAATCGTCATTTCGTACCTAATCAGATTCTAAGGCAGCATAAGGTTCTCTCTTAGCTTCATTTTCAGAAAAGATCATTTAGAAAGCACGTTCAAAACCCAACGACAATGATAGTGAAGAACTGAGATGGGAAGAACCATTCCAAACTGACGAAAGAATAACATTGACATCACTTAGAGAAGTATCAACAGAGATAAAAGAGAATATAAATCCTAAGAAAGCTCCAGGATATGATCTCATAACAGGAGAATTATTAAAAAATCTCCCAAGAAAAGCCATAGTTAAGCTGACACACCTAATAAATGCTGCTTTTAGATT